TTTGTGTACAGAACTCCTGTAGTTATAGTAAGGATCATATGGATGAATTATAACTCCTTGTACACTTTGACGAGTAAATATATAGAAAAAAAAAAAGAAATTAGATATGACCTGAATTATCTGAATTAGTAGCATGAACTTAGTAAGTTTCGAGCCTTGTGCATTGCGGGACCCGTTCCCAAGTGCACGGCGTCTGTTTCGCTCTCGGTTTGGGGCGTGACATATAGTTTGCCCCCGAGATCTATTAGCTCCTATTCAGAAATGGCATTTGCTTTTGCCATAAAGTTTTCCAGTAGAAGGTTGATTAGGAAAACCACTTCTGAACTAATGCGAGTCAAACAGAGGGAAGGAGAATCTTTGAAGAATTACATGAGCCGGTTCAATGATGCAGTTCTTGAAGTCAGCTCATTCAACCAAGCCGTGGGAATTGCGACTGTAATTCAAGGTCTCCAACACGAGAGATTTAAAGATAGCTTAATCAAGCATCCTACTGCTACTTTTGATGAAGTTAATGATAGATCGTTGAAATTCGTAATTGCTGAGGAACATGCTTTATCCCTGAAACTAGTTCTTCCCAAGAATCAAAATCCAGATTCGAGAGATGAGGGTCAAAGCAGAAAGTGGATGAAGACAGTGCAAAACCGAGATCCGATGTCGGCCTTTACAGCGAGATTCGGAAAGCCGAACTCACTTCCCCCCCAGCAAAATATCAGTAAAGCACCAGTTACATGGACTCCTTTCAATTTGTCGAGGTCGCAGATATTCATGTAGATCAAGAATAAGATGGATTTGAGGCGACCAGGGCCATTGAGAAGTTCTGTTGCTACATGTGATTATACTAGATACTGTGATTTTCATCAAGATCATGGTTATACAATGGAGCAGTGCAATAGTCTGAGGTCCGAGTTGAAAAGTCTAGCTTAGAAGGGAATGCTGAATGAATATATCCAGAGAACCGAGCAACCGAAGTTTGTTAGAGAACAGGGGCCACAACCACAAGGATCTCATAACGCAGGTAGCAGAAAAGGCGTGGGATATCAACAAACCCCACCTCCACTCCCACCACCAGCCAAAATTATACATATGATTACAGGAGGTTTGGAAGTAAGGGGTTTGAGCTTCAAACAAAGAAAACTATATGTCAGGGAGGTGAAGCACCAAAACCGAGCTCAGAAACGAAAGTTTGACGACGCTGATTGGAAGAATCAACCCATCACTTTCACATCTGCTGATTTTAATACAATTGTCACACCTTATAATGATCCTCTGGTCACTTCCGTTATGATTAACAATTGTGAAGTACAACGTGTCCTTGTTGACACAAGGAGTGCACCAGACATTATGTACTTTCACTGTTTTGAGAGTCTTGAGCTGGATACAGCTTTGTTGCAGAGGTACAATGGTCCCATCTATGGATTCAACAACCAACCTATTTAGGTAGAAGGAGTCCTTACTCTCAATGTTGCTTTTGGGAGTGGTCGAACTTATGTTACCCCTTCAGTTCGGTTTCTAGTTGTCAAAATGGCATCCTCTTTCAATGTTGTTATCGGACGACCCACACTAACCGAGATCCGAGCTGTGGTCTCTCAATCTCACCTCTGCATGAAATTCCCAACTCCCATGGGGATAGCAACACTACGAAGTAACCAGGAGGTGGCTAGACATTGTTATATTATCTCGGTTACAAGGCCTCAGAAAGGTAAAGACCAGACACCAAAAACCATTCCTCAACGAGTTCATGATAATCAGCAAGTAATGGGAGTTGAGATAGTAGACAACCAACCTGAAGATGAAACCAGAGCTACCCCAGTTGAGGATGTAGAGGAAGTGCATATTGATGACAAAGATCCAAGAAGAAAGACACAAATTAGAACTCGGTTGAGCCCGAAGGAAAGAGCAGAGCTAATAACTTTTCTCTGAGCTAACAACAATGTCTTCGTTTGGACTTCAGTAGACATGCCAAGAATTCCAACCTCGGTATCTCAGCATAAGCTCAGCACCAATCCATTGAAGAAACCAGTAGCCTAGAAGTGATGTCTCTTTGGGGGAGAGAGGCTTCAGGTTATAAAAGAAGAAGTTGAAAAACTCCTGCAAGCTGGTTTTGTCAGAAGGGTTGATTACTGTGAATGGGTGGCCAATCTGGTGTTGGTCAAGAAGGCAAATGGTAAATGGCGGATGTACATCGATTACACAAATCTTAACCAAGCTTGTCCCAAAGACTGTTATCCAATGCCAAGCATTGACAAACTGGTTAAAGTGGCTTCTGGAAATGAGAGATTAAGTCTCTTGGATGCATATTCTGGTTACCACCAAGTGTTAATGGCTCCGAAGGATGAAGAGAAAATCTCGTTCTATGCAGGTGATGAAATTTACTGCTATGTTATGATGCCCTTTGGCTTAAAGAACGTAAGTGCCACTTACCAAAAGATGGTGACCATCATATTCCGAGCTCAGATCGGCAAGAACCTAGAGGTTTATGTGGACGACATTGTGGTGAAGAGTCTGAAGGCAGAAGATCATCTAGCTGATCTCGATGAAACATTCAACAACCTCAGAAAGAACAGAATGCGGTTAAACCTAGCCAAATGCATCTTTGGTGTCGAGTTTGGGAAATTCCTAGGCTTCATGGTTTCTCGGAGAGGGATTGAGGTTAACCTAGAAAAGATCAGAGCAATAGCCGAGATGGAACCACCGAAGTCGGTGAAAGACATACAGAGATTAACGCGGAGGGTGGCAGCTCTTCATAGATTCATATCGAAGTTAGCAGATAAGTGCCTACCATTCTTCAAGATCATTTGGTCAGCAGCCCAGAAGGATGAATCTGGCAAACAAAAGAAGTTTGAATGGAACCAAGAATGTCAAGCTGCATTTGATGAGTTGAAGTCTTATCTTAACTCACCACCTTTGCTGACTAGGGCTATTGATGGAAAAATTCTCTATTTGTACCTTAGCATTTCAAATGAAGCAATCAGTTCAGTGCTTGTGAGAGAAGAAGGCAAACAGCAGAAACCAATTTATTATATTAGCAACGTGCTGCACAAAGCAGAATTGAGGTATTCTATTACTGAGAAAGCAACACTAGCAGTTGTCACTTCGACTAGAAAGCTGAGGCCATATTTCCAGTCACATCCAATCATCATTCTCACAGACCAACCTCTTCGATAGATCCTGCAAAAGCTAGAGTGCTCCGAAAGGTTAATTAAGTGGGCAGTAGAATTGCGGGAATTCGAGATAACATTTCAATAGAGGTTCGCGATTCGAGCCCAAGCATTGGCAAATTTCATCGTGGAATGCACCCCATGTCACTCAAACCCTAACCTTGAGCCGAGTGATTGGATCTTATATGTTGATGGAGCATCTAGTAGAAAAGGTTTAGGAGCTGGTGCCTTCTTAATTAGCCTAGAGGGATATCAAAGTGAGCATGCTTTGAAGTTTAACTTTGATGCAACTAATAACATGGCTGAATATGAAGCTCTGCTACTTGGTCTACAACTCGCGTTAGAGCTGAAAGTCATGGCCATAAGAGTTTACCATGACTCGCAGCTTGTGGTGAATCAAGTCAACTCAGTCTGTGAAGTTGTCGATCCTGTCATGATGAAGTATGTAGCTCTAGTGGTCGAACTGAAATGCAGGTTCCAGAAGTTTTGTTTGAGCAAAATTCCCAAAAGTGAGAATGAATAGGCAAATTAACTTTCTAAGTTTGCCTCTGATAGCTCCATAAGCTCCAGATCAGTTTTTGTGGAAGTTTTAGATGAACCGAGCTTCGTGAAACCAAGAATGATGGAGATCAACACAGACCTGGATACACTAAGCTAGACAGATCCAATTGTCTCCTTTTTACGAGACGGGTTAGTACTTGAAGATAAGCAAGAAGAGATGAGGTTGAGGAAGAAAGCGTCTCGATACACACTCGTTAATGGAGTCCTCTATAAAAGATCTTTCTCACTTTCTCTCCTACGGTGCTTGAATCCTTATGAAGCAGAGTACGCACTCCGGGAGGTACATGAAGGTGTGTGTGGAAGTCACATTGGTGCTAGAACCTTGACTCACAAAGCCCTTAGACAAGGATATTACTGGTCGAATATGTACAAGGATGCTACCCACTTCGTAAAGAGATGCCCGAAGTGCCAATTCTTCGCACATTTTACTCACCAACCAGCAGAAGAGCTAACCAACTTGGTAGCATCGTGGCCGTTTGCTCAGTGGGGGCTTGATCTTTTAGGCCCATTCGTGAAAGGGGTTGGTGGTGTAACACATCTGATAATTGGTGTTGATTATTTTACGAAATGGGTTGAAGCTCGGCCATTATCCAATCTTACTTACAGAAAGGTTGAAGACTTCGTTTTCAGCTCAATCATCTGTCGATATGGAATCCCAAATCAGATTGTAGCTGATAATGGAACTCAGTTTAACTACTCTTCGTTCAAAGATTTCTGCTCCAGTTACAGGATCAAACTACAGTTCACCTCCGTTTACCATTCGGAGTCCAATGGTATGGTTGAATCTGTCAATAAAGCTATCCTGGAGGGAATAAAGCTGAGGTTGGAGCAGCACAAGGCTAGGTGGGCAGACGAGCTTAACAACGACTTTTGGGCATATAGAACTACAAGTCAAACTGCCACAGGTACTACTTCCAACCCAGGTTACTTTCATTATATTCTATTTTATTTTCTCATCTATGGCTTTACCCTAGATCAAATATGCACAATATATAAAGCATATTCTAAAGAATATAACTTAATGAAATAGGTGAAACACCCTACCACCTAGCCTTTGGTACCGAAGCAGTAATTCCTATTGAAATAGGAATCCCAAGCTCTGGGTCACCCATTTCGATGAAGGACGAAATGGACAACTGCTTTGGGAGAACCTTGATCTGCTTGCTGAAGTTAGAGAAGAAGCACGACTTCGAACTCTAGTATACAAGCAGAAATTAGCCAACTTCTACAATAAACGAGTCCACCCTCGAACATTCAAAGTAGGAGACCTTGTTTTCAGAAAGGTTGGCCTAAAAGGGTTTGAAAATCGTTTTGGCAAACTGGCCCTGAACTGGGAAGGCCCTTATACAGTGGCCGAAGTGCCACATCTTGGTGCCCATATCCTCCAAGACGTTGAAGAAAAGAAAGTTCCTAGAGTTTGGAATATCAATAATTTGAGGAAATTTTACCCTTAATAAACTTCCTTTAAATGATCAACGTCTCATTCTTCTTTATAGTTATTACTTCTTCACTTTTGAGATTCATTTCATCTCTTATTCTGTATACTTGAGGTCAATCTGTTCAAAGTTTATTCATTGGACTTCACTTTTATTAATGAATTTCGCTTCGCATATGAAGTGATTTACTTTTTCTCAGTTCATATCTGAAGTGATTTATTTCTTCTTAGTTAATATCCAAAGTGATTTACTTTATCTAAGTTTTTATGACTAATATAAAACAATAAAGCACAAAAGCAAGTATTACACATAAATTCAAAAACAAAACTTTTCATTAAAATCACAATGAAAATTACAGACTATTCAAATTATCAAATTGTTTCAATATTATCAAAACAAAAATATCAAAAAACAAAAATTCCTCATTCTTCTGTTGGAGGAGGTGGCTGAGGTGGCTGCTGCTCTGTTGGAAGAGGTGGCTACTCGTCATTAGAAGGAACTGGATAGACCTCCACTTGTAGAGGTGGCTGACTCTCATCCACTTTAACTCCTTCTACCTCTGCTCCTACTTCAGCTCCCTCTACCTTTGCTTCTTCTTCCTCCACTGCCACGAACTCGAAGTCGAAGTTCAAAGGAAAAATGGTGCGCCCTTCTGCATCACGATCCCACCTTAGTTTAATTTGAGGACGGAAGTCTGCTGACATGCTCTCATCGTTTTCCTCCACCCCTTCCTCTTGTTCGCCGAAGGTGATCTTCATAATATCCACTTCGGGATATTCAACTTTCACCTTCTTTCTGCAATCGGTGAAGGCGAGAATAGTAGTTGGCAGTCGGTAGAGGTTGACAATGTTGTCAAACGAGCTGGAGTTGACAAAGTTGCTGATATGCTCCTCCATCCCATTGTGTACCAGCAGCTGAACATTCTTTTTCAGCTCAACCACAACTTCCTTCATTGCTTTTATTTCCTTCTCTTGAGCCTCGCACTCGATTTCAAAGATCTTTCTCTTTTTCTCTTCAAAGACGAGCTTGGTACTCAGAGAATCCCTTTCCTACTCAAGCTGCTTCACTGCTGGTACCACCTCATCCAGTGCCTCTTGCATATCCTTGTTCTTCTTCTCCAGCTCCTCTTCTTCTTCTATAGTTGCTCACACTGCCTTTGCAAGAGGGAGCGATCCTTCACGCTCTCCATAAACTCCTGGGCCAGAGCATTCACCTAGCTTGCACTCTGCAATTCCAGCAGAAGTTAAAAAAAAAAAAAAAAAGCAACAACAAAACACCAACAATTACATCTAAACCAACTTAACATACCTCTAGGCCGTGCTTCACCACAGTCGCCCCACAATACCTCAGCACCTCCTCCTTAGCTTGACGCTTGTCCACTTCAGGGAAGGTTGCGTTGATAAACCTTCTTGCCCCCGTTGAGTTCTTCGTGTCAAAGAGGCTGCTCTGAAAAGACAATTGGGAAACGAGGCCTTTCCCTTTACCAGGAGCCCTTACCTCAGCCCCCTCAGCCTCAGACTCCCTGAGCTCAGGATCGAGCTCAACAGGAGGGGGCCGAGGTACGAACTATAGAACCTTGCTCCCCTTAACCTCCTGCTCCACCACCTTTTTCTTCCTCTGCAGTGCTCCCAACTCCTCACTACCCTTCCTTTTTAGCTTCGGCTTGGGTCTCACCTCCTCAACTCCAGCAGAGGTGCTAAGCACTAACTCCTTCCCAGCCTCCACCTCATTCGCCTCTTTGGTTGAAGTCTTTGACTTCTTCCTCGGTTTCTTTGGAATAGCCACCCCCCCAGTAGCATTCAAAAATTTATCCATCTCAGCTGCAAAACAACATAAACAAAACGTGTCAACAATACAACTTTATGTCTTACATCAAGCACTACAATGCAAAATACAAACAAACCTTCACTCAAAGCGCTTAGCCCATAGAACTCAGCAGCCTCTATACAATCCGCACTGGTAAAGTACATTATGTTCACTAAATTACCCCCCCTCACCAACTTCCCCACCTCTTCCTCCTCATCCTCATTTAAACTATATTTATTTTGGTTGGCTTTCTTAGCCTTCCAAGATGACAATAGTTCTACTTTGACATCCCCCCTTTTCCACTCAGTGTCATCTACAAAGAAAAATTTCTCCTTCCATCCTTTAATGGATAAAGGACCCGTTGTAAATAAACTCCTACTCTCTTTATTTGATACTCTATGGGTGAAATAATACCACCCCTTGTCTTTTCTACTACCCCCTTTAGAACAAAAAAATATTTAAACATATTTACGGTTGGTACATTAACCCCCTGAGTTAGAAAATAGACTAAAAACCCTATTATTATCCTCATAGCATTGGGGGCTAATTGTGTCAACCCTATACTATAATCTAGCAATAGACCCACAAGCAACTCAGGAATTAGAAACCTAAGCCCAACTGCCAAATAATGAGCATACATGGGCATCCAATGATCCCGAGGTGCAGAGCACGCCCTCTCCTCTACCCTAGCAGGCCTAATCAAAACTTGGAAAGAAATTTCATAACTTTCAACTAAATAACCCAGGCTATCCCTGGTCCCGAGCTCAAACTCATATTGCTTCACCTCAGACACAATATCCGCATCTACATCATAACACCTCTCATTCCTATCCTCCACTTCTACTACAGTAATGGGTACCCTATCTCCCTCAACCCCAACCATCTCACTTCTCCCTACCCCCTCCTCCGTCCTCTCCGAATCAGATGACTCACTGGTCATACCCACGTCGCCATATTCCAATGCCCTCACTTCCTCACTTCCCCCAACGCTCACATTTTGTTCAGAAGACATCTCTTCAAAGTTCGTAACTTTCACTACATGGAGTAGAGAGGGGGGAAGGAGAAAATGAAATCAGGATCTTTAGAAATTCTAACTCACACTCACCGTTACTCTCACTCCTAAACCTAACTCCTTTCAAAAGACTTAGATCTAAATCAGAAAGGATGAGAGTAGAAGAAAACACACTCTAAAATCTAAATCATCAAAACTCATACGTTACCTAATCTCGGTCTTGAATGATTGATGTAGAAGTCCACAAAGGATGCAACAGTTCAGATGCAGGAAGAACACAATAGAGTTTTGGCAGCAATTTCGTGGAAGTGGAAAATGTAACAAAAGTAAAACTCTTTTTACAGAAATATGGCTATATATACCACAGAGCAAAAATATATCTCAACGGTTGTGATTAATTTAATTTAACGGTCATAATTCACACCATTTCGAATTCAACGATTAAACCCTAATGGGAACTTTTCGAATTCGCCGGTTCATTTTCCATTCCGTCTGTTTAACTGTAGCAGTTACTTTTTTCAGCTCGTATTTATTGTACACGTCTTTCAATAGACAGCTGTCATGTCACATCCTCACCCAACGTCAAACCTTTTAAACAGGCCCAATTAAGCCCAACTCAACACTTCTGTTCCCTTTCACAATAATATTTTTCAATTTTACAAAGTATTTCACCTCGACTCCGTCCATAGTGACCCCGTGTCACATATTTCACCTCGGCTCCGGCCATACTGACCCCGTGTCACATATTTTACTACA